TCTCAGTTCAACACTTGGGGTCCTCTTTTATCTGGTACGACAGTTCACAAATTTTCCAGGGCTATTTCTCGCGAGATTCAGGGCTACCTCTCATGAATGGTGGAGCTGTTATATTGCGGGGCTTTTATCTCTCCCGATAAATGCATCTCAAACGGTCTTAGCTTTTTTTCGGGCCTATTTCTCGTCAGTGGTGGAGCCTCTAATCTATTGTCATGGTTTTCTCTCCAAGTGCATGCATTTGAGGCTCCCAAAATGATTCCTCCACGAGCAAAATGATGTCCAGGGCAGTACTTAAACTCCGCCATTTCTGCTCACTCCTTGAATTTGATTTCTTGTGTCGTCCCAAAATTGCCCTGCCAAATCCTGTAAAATACAGTGTGTACGTACGGTACGGACATAACCCGTTCCGTCTGACCTTCCTCAGCTGGCCTAAATGTGCGGGTTGAGCTGTGGCGTATGAAAAGTATGGCGTAAAAGTTACGCCCGTGGGCGTAAATCGGACAGTTTGATGCCCTAGACTCGAAGTCGATCAAATACAACTTCACAAAAAGCACCTGACTCAAGAGCACTAGGATAATGATTATATATGATATAGGTAGGGTCATAGTGGGTGCATACCATATCCCAAAGGCTCCCTACATTACTCTGCCATTCGTGAGAGATATTAGATTTATTGATTGACTCAAGTCAATCAATAAATTCAATATTTCTCTGCAACCAAACATCCAATTGCCAGGAGGTTTGGATATATTATGAACATATAGTAGCTCTCGTCATTACTCATAATTATTTTGCCTTTTGAGAAGATGTGATGTGGCTATACGCAAAGTTTGGTTTTGTTTGACTTGGAGTCATGGCAACACTACTGAACAGCTGTGCCTTCCATCACTTGCGTTCAATTCGGAATCCCTGACAATTCTTTTTCCAGATGTCCAGGAATAAAAGATTTTGGGTTGGCTGCAGTGGCTTCACTACTGGCAGCATCGGAAAACACCGAAGTTGGAGTATTCCAGACGACGTGGACGAGGGAATGTTTGTCGAAGGCATGCAAGGCCAGCCACTGGTCGGAGACGACTCCCGAGACACTCCATCTATGATGAATTCCAAGCTGTCAAATTGGAAACAACTGGAAAGCCTGTCGTCTTCAAGTGTTTTGTCGAAGGCGGTAACCACATAGCCATGAAGTCTGACATGGAGGCCGCACAAGTCCTTGGAGCTGCGCAATTGTTCTTCAAAATAAATGATTCTGGATACAGCGGGCTTTCTGACGATACTCTGCTGGAGAAAGTTGCGCCTGAGTTCGCTTTGCGTTATGCACACTAAGCGGTGAGTATACATCACTGTGGCGAAAATTCAACGTACTAAGGTTCATTCAACGTACTAAGGTTCATTCAAGTGGTGTTCTTGACCTCAAGTCTCATGTCTCCGAGGAGGATCACCGCCATCTCATGGACTTTGTGTACTTTGTGTGCATTGACTCAGCGGAGAAACTCGAGGAATTTGATGGATTTGCGCGCAGTCTAGGCGTGAAGAAGATCCACGGTACAGTGTTAATTGTCTTCTACCCGGGTGGTGTTCAATTGTCAGCAGATTGATGGGATCACAAGGCCATGAGCACCTAGATCTTGACATGCCTCATCAAGTCACAATCTGCAATGGGCACCCAGGATTGGGACAACACTCCGGCTATAATGAACACAGGCCACAGCATGCCTGGACCACCCACCAGCACGGTACAAGGCAGTCGCTTGTTGAAGCGATGGAAGAGTGCGTCAAACGTGAGATGTGGAACTGAACTAGACCGGTGACCGATCTGTCTATGACAAAGTGTCGATAGACAGACCAGTCGATCTGAGTTTAAATTTAGTTAGCACCCGAGCGATCACGTTTATGTCACGCCTTTATCACGTGTTCAACCCAAAAATATTCATAGCCTCATAATACAAACCCGAGGCTCAATAATAAAAATGCATATTAGGCACAGACAGTCTCTCCAAGCTGATGAGCCACCAAGTTATGCCCTCTTTCCCCTGAAATGACATACATGCTCTTCTTCAGCAACAAAATTGACAAACTAGGCTTAGTTCGCCTGAATATCACAGTATTAAACATTCTGGAAAGGCAGCGACTTAATGGAGTGGTAGATGTATCTTTTGAAACAATTTCAGGAATTTATCTCCTTTTTGAGTGCAGGGTTGAATATTTTCACCATGAGTCCCGTGAAAAACATGGGATAAAAACGTGATCGCTTGGGAGCTAACTAAATTTAAACAAGAATATTGCCCGTGCCTTTGTCACAGAGAGACGCCATGCAAAAGTGGATTCCCAGTTCACCCACACATGACAGATTCCGAGCTCATCGCACACGGCAGATTCTGAGCAGCGCCGCACTGCCGTGCTGCGCCTCCGTGGGATCGAACTCGTGACTATCACCTGATATATCACGCTTTTATCACGCTTTTGATTGGTGGCTGTGTTCGTTGTCTTTTCATGTATAGGACTCAGATCGACCGGTCTGTCTATCAACACTTTGTCATAGACAGATTGCTCACCGGTCTAGAACTGAACCCTTTATGGATGTCCTTCCTTGCTTTCAGTGCCTGTATTATCAGTGACTGCCTACCTGGCCATACTAGGTAGCTGGCCACTTGCATAATATGAGCCCATGTGCTAGAGACCCTCCAGATTTGGCATCTGTGGAATGGAGTATGACCTATCAGGACATTGTATGTCAGATTTGGAGGTGAAGCGAGGCGGCCATCAAAAGTTGTGCAATGTTCTTGATCGAGATGGCAGCGTGTGAACCTGATTTCTTATCTCCGAACAGCCCTTCGCACAATCCTCGCGCTCGTTCTCCACCAATTCCTCACCAATTCCGACACTTTGGCACTTGATCTCATCCCTTAGTTCTGACCTATCACCCCCTGATACACTATACGCGAAAATGACCACCTTTCACTTCCTGGACCCTCCAAGAGCATCACGACCTGATCTCGAGTAGCGCAATCCGCCTACTCCTATTGTGAACCACGGGTGTCTACTTGACCTAGAACTTGACAGCCGCATTCAAGATCATTCAAACCGTGTTACCACAATTTCATTCGCTTTTTAACCCGGCGCCTTCGCAGTCACACCGGGCCATTACCCCAAACCACTCAAGTTCATTCGCCCGAAAAGATGGATTTTGTTTAAGGGATTCTTGATATCTGGGGTGCATGTTTTGCGGTGAGGTATATCCTAATATGCATATTATATATCCATCTGGGCCTTAATTTGGGTCACCAATATGCCCTGCTCCCGGCAGCGTACGCCATTCTCTCGAAACAGCAATTTCACCTATCCTCCTTGGGGTGAAAGGAAATATATATTGCCCTCATACACCTCAGACATGCAGTTTGAGTATGTAGAATAATTCATTTGTATCCATTGGATAATCTGGGATGCGCCGGGGGGACCAGCATGAGTGCGAACGAACGAAATAGCGGGGTGGCCGGCTACCCCATTTATTCCCTTTTGGAACACCCCCCGAAAATAAATTCAATGAAGCATGAAGCCATCATTTAAATTCGGATAAAATATCTCATGTTGCTCCTAAGATGCATATATTTGTCTAAGACCGCATATACCTCCATCATTCTCACTCTGTATGCGGGCTCGAGGTTGAAAGTGTTAAGGTGGCCAGCTACCTAGTCTCAAATAATACCTTGGACGAATGTGTCATTCGTGAGATCGAAATATCCATTCAATCATATGCTCATCAATTCGAAAAATGAGTCTTACAATCGCAGAGCTCGAAATACGACACGCCAATCTATGGTGATGCGCAAGACACAGGGATCCAACAAGCGCGCAGACAAGCAGGCCCAGATTGACCTTGAAATGGAGGTGATTTGATCCAAAAAGCAAGATTCGGCTGCGTGGCTAAAGGTGTTGCAAGCTCGCAAGTCCGAGCTTCGCAAGCAACCCAAGGCCGCCAAGTCCAGTGGTGCACATACTATGTTTGTCTCCGCTAGCTCCAGCAGGCGCATCAAAATGAGGACGACTGGTATGTTATTTATCAGCATATTTCAGAATCCAAGACACTAATCCTTCTGAAGGATCTGCTCTACCTACGAGTGTAGATCCGATCCAATCATTTGGTGACTTCATCTGAGTTGCGGGAAGAATACAGAGCACTAATTTTATTCACAGAGTCTACTCCAGTCGCTATGCTTCCGATTCAGCCCATTGCTCCACCTCAACTGCTCCTCCCCCAACCTGCAATTATACCACATCATGGGACACCACTCTCTTTCAGGATGCATTTGGTAGCGCTACACCACCAATCAAAACCTTTATTTGACAAATGTTCTGTCGAAATAGTGCAGAAATCTTGCCTAGCATATTTGTCCAATGTCATACAAATAGTTGTCGTATTTTGCTCAATATCCACAGAACATCCTCCATATATCCTCACAATAGTGTTCAATACAAGGGCTACGTATATAGGGTTGACTCAAATAAGCACCCTAATTCATTCTGAGGCAAGCTTCCAAAGCCAGTGATTTGGCAGTGCAGACAGTTGAATGACGGGCTTTAAGGAGTTTGTGAAGCGCTGCGGCAATGGCATCTAAGTCAGCAAATTAATCTTGTGTACAGGCCATGTTGATTGGGCTGGAATGTAACAGATGCCAGTAATTATGATTGGAACTTGAGCAAACTGAACGAAATGAATGATACGCAGCAAGTTGAAGCTGTTTCATGGCAGATACATGAGGTGAAACTCAGAAACTGTGGTGATGATCTGTGATTTAAGGTATCCTAAATAATCCTGGAGACAAGTCTGGTTGCTTTCCTCAGACAGTTTGAATCAATTGTCTCAAAAAAAGAAGGCGGTTGGAATTTTGGCGTAAAAATAAAGATGGACTGTATACAGTGCAAAAAGAATGGCATCACCGCGGATTGAACACAGGGATTTTGCCACTGGGTTCGATACGACTGCCAAATAAAAGCAAGAAAAATGGCCCAAGGGCGGATCGAACGCCCGACCTTCAGATGATCGGTTGACTTCAGTCTGCTGCTCTCCCAGCTGAGCTATTGCGCCATACAATTTTGTTATCCTTATGCCGATCCGAGGGATGGAACTGTGCTTCGAAACTTGATTTTGTCCAACATCTCAAGAGAGAGCACTAGACTCAGAACAAACCTGCTGTTCTCCCAGCTAAACTCTGGAAAGTGCTAAGCTTTCTCTTGGTGTGAAGGGTGGTTGAGCTCGAGAGTGGGGATTAGAAGATCAGTGGCTGCGCAATTCCTTCTATTTAATCATAACCACCCTTTCAACGCCCGCGGTTTGGATTGAAATTCAGAATCTTCAGGCAAGGGCTTATCACGTGAAAACCAATGCCGAGGGTGTTTGCATCGCATCTGCTGCTCTCCCAGCTGAGCTGTGACACCTTGAAATGAGGAGTTTATTGGATGGTACGGAGGTGCTTGGCTAGTTGTTTCCGAAAAAAAACGGCAGAAAAATACTCAAATACAGCTCTCACAAAAGAATCCCACAGTCCAGTTCACAAGAGCTGTTCTACTAGCTCACCATTCAGATATTTAAAATTCTACTGCTCTTCCAGCTGAGCAGGGGTTATTTTCATTGTTTGCAGGCTTTGGACTTTCTGGAAACCCAGGACAGCCATCTAACTCAGAGACTGGCTTTCTTGGGTGGCTGCGGACCATCACGTCCACCATACAATTATCTCTCCATTCTACCGAGCCGATCTCTCGCGCGGCCATTAGTGAGGTACGGAGGGCGTGAAGTTATGAACACTCCGACTTACTTGATACCAAGGGGAGAATCCCGATGCATCATCTTTGCCAGAGCATTGATTCTCAGCTGTGTTGGAATTGGAGTCCCGGCTTTTGGAATATATGCTACAATCATCAGACCTCCACAAATACAATCATGAACAGAATAATGGCCCTAGACTTTGAAATGCCGGGAAATGCCACAATAATTTTGGTGTGCCGAATGATTCTGGCGGACATTAATGACTCCATCGAGAAACTGATTGGAATCTGGATCCTTCCGACGTGAATGTGGGTTCCGGGCAACTTGAAGTGATCATGGACGCCATGAGTTTGGCGTCAATTAAGATTGACTGCCCCACCGACTACCCGTACCCAGCACCAGCCTCCCCACAGCGCCGCTGTATGTTAAATGTCCTGCATTCATCTAGTGGTTCTTGATGTTCAACAGGCCGCCTTGGATGGTCTGATCTTGCGCATATCTATTTCTATTGTGATCCCATCTGAAGTGGACGGCGTGAATGTCTACACCAGGTGTGACAGTGAAGTCCATTGTGAGAAAAATGTACAATCTATTCCTATTCCTCTTCTGAGTGGATCACACCTCTTTGGTGTATTGACCTGTTCTCAACGACAAACAATTCCCCAGTTAGGGGCATTATACGTACGCCACATTGTAAATCTCTCATGTTTCTCGCCAACTACCAAAGGGCCTCGAGTATACTTCCGAAGTGTACGGATTGCAACAAGCCAAATCCATGGGACAAACCCTGCATCACTCACTTTATTGCAACCTTACGGCCTTCCCGCGATATATCTACAAGACACGGCGGGTGTATCGCTTCTGTGCGGGCATGGCAACATCGTGAATGGAGTGTTCGCCCTGTTCATTTGGCAAGTACAAGGATATTGCGTGTAGCTGTGGCTGAGGAAACAAACAGGTCGGAGGCCACCTTCCGCGCTGGGCGTGGTCCACTTATTTCAACGTCGCGCACTAGTTCGCACATGGCGCGAGGATATCGATTTCCCCACCCTCCATAGCCAAGGCGGTCTACCCGGTTCCGAAAATGCAGGCATTGTGGCTTTCATCCGGGAATGACTGGTTGACGTCGGTGAGGATTCCTGTGCCACCCAGGAACCAGACTCCGGCACTTCATCTCTAAAAATATCCCTCGACAACAAGGAACATCTGGATCACACAAAAATCCTGAGGATAATTACGATATCCGCAAAACTACTACTATTTTTTATCGGGTAGCTGGCCACCTAAGCAGTTACGCGCAATTATCTCCACCTGTAACGAGGATATCTAGTACATGCCATACCAGATTGAAGGCATGCTTCCTACGAAGGGTTCAAGCCAACGTTTGAGAAAATATATGCAGATTTGATGTTGCAATGAATTTATTTCGGACGTGAGTACAACACCAGCAAATAACACCCTAACTGGCCACCCCGCGGAATAATGCACAAAGGACTTCTAGAACAGCCAGATGCGCCAGGAACCATAGAGGGGGATCATGGGAACCTTTTAAAATTATAATGGCGGAGATACAAGTTTTGTGAACAGTGGAAAAATTTGCATCAATGGCACCGGACACCCCCGAAATCCTGGGTCGCGACTAAATGAGTGTCCCACACGAAAGAAATTTTGTCGAAGTCTAATTAAAGGCACGTGTGACTCCATCAGAAGCATTGGAACATATCTGGATACCCAAGTCTAGTGCAAAGAGCTTGCAGCTGCCCCAAAAAATCTGAACATCTGAGACACCAAAATTGGGGGGTTGGGGTAATAGGCAGCGGTGTAAGGGAACTGTAAGGGCAACCTCAGCTCGGCGCAGAGCGCGGGAGACTAGCGGGAGAATCCGAAGCAACTCAATTGAATGGTACTAAATACAGGTTTCTAGAATACGCACCTAGCGGGAGAATCCGAAGAGAAGAAAGGATGAGGATTCTCACGCTAGGCGAGGTTTTTTAAGTACTAGCCAGTAGCACGTGTCCGGAGGGATCGGCAGAGGTCTCGAGCTTGATCACACAGCACGTGCCAGTGAGAGCGGCCGGACGGACGGAAGGGAACAGAGTCCGGAGGGACGGGAGGTGACGTTCCGGATGGAGGCGCAGGCTGGGGTGCGAGTCCGGAGGCCGGACGAAGGATCGGACGAGGAAGCGGGGCAGTGCGATGGGCCGGAGCCGGACGGACGGACGGATGGACGGACGGACGGGCGGTTCCCCTGACATCACCCCCCCCTTGGAATGCGGCGTCCCGACGCATGAATCGGACCTGGGCGTCGCGCCTCCGGAACGAGAGCGAGTCGAAAGCGGCCGAGGCGATCCGGCGCGGGGCGTTGGGGTAGCGGCGATAGTAGGCATCGATGGCGTCTCGAGCGAAGACGTCGGAGTGCTTTACCCATTTATTGTGTTCCGGGCCGTAGCCTTTCCACCGCACCATGTACCAGAGGCTGCCATAACGGACCTTCGCTTCTAGGATCTCCTCGACCTCCCATTGAACGTCGTCGTCCGTCTGGAGGACGGGTGGGGGTTCGTCGTTCCGGGGGCGTCCGGGGAACGGGTCCGGTTCCGCGAGCTGGAGTTTCACCACCGGAAAGACCGGGTGGAGCTGGGAGTACCGGGGGGGGAGCTCGAGCTTGTACGCACCCTTTCCGACAACCTTCACGACCTTGAAGGGGCCGAGGCGTTTGTCCGCGAATTTGACGGACGGACGGGTCGTCCGGATGTCGGAGGCGTCTAGCCAGACTCGGTCGCCTACTTTGATCTCCGGGGTGGGCGTGCGTCGGCGATCGTAGTACAGCTTGAACTCGTCTTTGGCCTTAACGAGCGCGGCTTTGGCTTCCGAGACTCCGGACGCGATCCGGTCGCGGAACTCGTTCGCGGATTCCACGTTCGAGCGCAGTCCGTTGGGCTCAAATCCCATCCGGGGGAGCCTTCCGGTGTCCGTCATGAACGGGACTTGCTGCATCGAGGAGTGGACGTGGTTGTTGTACGCGAACTCCGCGGCCGGGAGGAGCTCATCCCAGTCGTCTTGTTTGTAGTTCGTGAAGATCCGGACGAACTGCTCGAGTTCCTGATTGACGCGTTCGGTCTGGCCATCGGTCTGCGGGTGGTAGGCGGTGGAGGTCGCTGGTTCTATCCCGATGAGGCGCCACAGTTCCGTGGTGAACTCCGCAACGAACTGCGGCCCACGGTCGGAGATGTATTTCCGGGGGGTTCCGTGGTGCCTCCAGATGTTCCGGTAGTAGAGCCGAGCGGCTCCGACCGCGCCAAGGCCGGTGTGGCACTCGTTGAAATGGGCCCGCTTACCCAGGACGTCGACTACGACCATGACCGCGTCGAACCCGTGCGCGTCTGGGAGCTCGACGATGAAGTCCACCGAGACGGTGTCCCAACGTTCTTCCGGGATTTCGGTCGGGTGGAGCTCTCCGTGGGGCAGCTTCCGAAGCGCCTTCGTCCGGTTGCACGGATCGCAGGTCCGGACGTATTGGCCGACGTGACGGGACAGCTGGGGCCACCAGTAATTCCGGGAGATGAGCTCGAGGGTTTTGAAGCGTCCGGCGTGTCCGGCGACCCGGGTGTCGTGGTGCAGGGCGATGATTCGGCGCCGGAGGTCCTTATTCCGCGGTACGACGACCTTACCGCGGTAGTAAAGGAGCCCTTCTGCGACACGCCACTCGGACGACCGGGGGGGGCGGACGTTCCGGTTCTTGAGGAGTTCTCGCGCGACAAGCGCGACGGGGTCCTCAAGGTCCGGCTCACCCGTGAAGGCCTCCCGGACGTCACGAAGGAGGGGGACCTCGGGTCCGGCCACCACGACGCCTTCCAGCGCGCGGACATGGAACAAGTCCGGGCGAAGAAGGGTAACGTCCGTGTTGTCCGAGCCCACTCCGTGGTCCGGACGGCGGGACAGCGCGTCCGGACGGCCCATGAGGCGTCCGGGCTGGTGGTGGAGCGCGAAGTCAAACCGGGACAGGTACAGGGACCACCGCGCCTGCCTCCGGTTCAAGTTCTGCGCCTTCCGGAAGTACTCCAAGTTTTTGTGGTCCGTCCAGATCTCGACCGGGTGCTGCGTACCTTCGAGGAAGTGTCGCCACTCCTCTAAGGCCCGGATGATCGCAAGCATCTCCTTGTCGTGGATCTCGTAGTTGCGCTGGACGTCACTCAGACTTTTGGAGTAAAACGCGACCGGATGCCACTTCCCGTTCGCGTCCGGCTGAGACAGGACGGCTCTGGTGGCGTAGTCGGAGCTGTCCGCCTCGACCCGGTATGGACGCGACTCGTCGGGCAGGACCA